TTCAACAGAATTTTTTCCCAGTGTGTTTTTTGTTGTTGTTTTTTGGAGGGAGGCGGTGTTCGGTGGTATTGTTTCAACCATCTAGCATCCTTATTTACGGTGCAAAACGATTGCCTTTAAAGTTAAAAAAGTGGCTACAGTGCCTTAAGCTCTACCCTGGATTGAGGCAGCAGTTTTAGCCAAACTAAAAGCACCAGTCATGTTTCCTTGTCTGCTGAGACCTCTGCACTTACGAGGGAGGGGGTCATGTGCACTGCTGGCTAGTAGTTTGAATAGTACGAGTTGTTGTCATGAATAAATACCAGGGGAAAAAGTGGGTTTTTTTAAAAAGCTATCCCCATTAATATCAGTAATCTCCTAAAAAAATTAATTTGACCTACTAAAAGATGTCCCAAGAACATTTGAAAGATTTTTTTTTAAATTGTGCACTATTTGTTTAGAACTCACCTGCAAAAAAAACCCCAAACAAAGAACCTTCCTACCACCACACACATATCCCAGCCCTCCTTTCCAGAAAAACCCCAAACAAACCAAAAAATCTCCTCAGTGTTTGGAATATTACTATTGGGTAGGCATATGGATTGTTAAATATGCATAATCAGAGTTTTCACTCAATTTAATATTGATATTTTATTCAATTTAATATCCAACATGTAACAGGTGGTATAAAGATGCTCGTTCTGTAACATAGTATTGTATCACCCTGTTAAATAGAGAGCTAATCATTATATTTCTATGTAGTGTTTCTATGAACAAAAGCTCTTTGTTAAGATTATTGTATTTATGATATTTGTGTCTAGGATTTGAAAACCTGTTTACTTCCTAAATAAATAGTTAAAACAAAGCCTTCCATCGTACATAATTTCTGCCCCTCATTTTGTTTTTATACTCTGACCCCCCAAACCACTAGTCGCTCACAATTTCTGTTTTGAATGGCATGAGTTTGTATGAAGATTCCAGCATAAAAGGTGTCTCCCTGCACTACAGACTATGTTACTGCATCTGCTGAAATATATTCACTTCTGTAAGGGTGTGAAGGACAATGCTTTTGGGGCTCAGATAGCTCTTAAAATAGGTCACAAGATGCTGTCCTGATTTTTAAAAAAAAATCTAAATTATGCTATGGAATTAATACATATCTCTTGGTTAAACAATTGTTTACTTATAATTTGCTTATGCTTTGTTTCTAAAGAACATATAATTAAATTATTTTACTTTTAGCTGTGGTACTGATTACTCTTGTGTTCCTGAAAATCAGATGAGTGTGATAGTTTACTTCTTTTGTCATGCAGTTCACAACTGGACTCAAGAGGAGACTTTGCAGTGGCTGGTAGAATTTGTTGAACTGCCCCAGTATGAGAAGAATTTTAAAGACAGTAATGTCAAAGGAACAACGCTTCCCAGGTGAACCTTTTCTTCTGGATTAGTTTAAAATACCTGTTCAGATATTTTATGTTTCAGTGTTCTCTAGCCTCCCTGTATAGGATAATTATCTAAATTTCATCTTATACACTATGCTCGTGTATAAGAAAACTGATGTACGCCTGCAGTTCTGGGAGGCCAGGGGACTAGTATTTCAATTTTCTTCTGCTAAAATGTTCCCGAATGTCATTGTCTCTAGCCCTACTTCAGTTTTGTTACTTTCTTCCTTTAAAATAATTTGCTGCAAAGTGTTTCAACAGCAGTCACTTAGCTTTTTGGTGACTAATTTCTGTTGACAAACTGCAAATGAATTCAGCTGAGTAGAAACACATTTCCAATGTGGACCTGAAGACTTTGCAGACACTTTGCCTTTGAATATTAACTTTTGGATTTTTGCAACTATTACGTATGTTAAAAGACTTGATGCTGTCAAACTGCACATATACCAGTGTTCCCTCTATTTTTTCCATCCCTGAGTGGAATGAATTTTATGTGCACTCATGTAACGCACATCATCTCTGTATTAATGCACATAACAAAATTCATGTGGAAGGGGTGGGGCCAAGGGGTTCTGAGTGTGGGAGGATACGGAGGGATGGGGCAGAGGATTGCAATAAAGGAATGTGAGGGCTCTGGTTGGAGGAGCAGGCTCTAGGGTGGGACTGTAGTTGAGGGGTTCAGAGTTGGGACATAGGGTTGGGGTGCAGATTTTGTGGTGGGGCTGGAAATAAGGGGTTTGGAATGCAGGGGAGGGGCTCAGGCTCTGGGTTGGGGTTAGGGGTCAAGAGGAGAGTACAGGTTCTGGATGGGATGTGTGGGCTTTGTCATGCCGGAGGATGGTAAGTCAGGTGCTTGGATTTTACCTGGGCAGCTACTTGCTGGGGCCAGTGAGGATGAATGCTTCCACTCTCCCAGCAGCTCAGTGCTGGGGCCAGTGGGAAGGAGCCCTTCCCCATTGGCGACATCAGCTTCAGGCCTTGGGAAGAGTAATTTCTCCCTGCTGCAGTCCTGAGCCCCTTACTGGGAAGCTGTGCTGTCTCCCAGCTTAGGTGGAATTATGGTCCTCATATTTAAATTGTACCACGTGGATTTAATTAGTGATGGTCACAGAATGGAAAGCAAATACTGCAGAGTAAAATGCTTGTGACAATTTGAATCCTAAAATATTGGAGATACGAATTTTGAGTACTAACTGTAAATATCCATATAAATCACAAACAGGAACCGTCTACAGTAATTCTTTTACAATATAGTTCTCTGTGTGTAGCTTACATGAACATTTGTGTGAAAATAACATTTGATTTATTATAAACAGGATAGCAATAAATGAACCTGCTTTTATGATCCATCATCTGAAAATCATTGACCGGAGCCACAGACAGAAACTTCAACTGAAGGCATTGGATGTTGTTTTATTCGGACCTCTTGCACGTTAGTACTATCTGATTTTTCTAACTTGTAACTGTTAGAATTCAAACACCTTTTTTCTATTTATACTGAGGTTATATATTGTAGGTGGTACACCTCACTCCACTTGGTCAGTACATTGGTTCATTATTTTGCTCACACTTGTGAAACCCAGAAAAAGTCTAGAATTAAGCCATCAGAATAGGCAATCTAACTGCCTTTTTTTTTTGCATGGTAATATAGGGTGTGTCTAGACTACTGTTTTTTTTTTTTAAAAGTGGCCTTTTTAAAAAAAAACTTCCCCTGCGTCCAGACTGCTGCCGCATTCTTTTGAAAGTAAATTGAAAGAATGCAGCAATTTTTTCAACCGTAGAAAACCTCATTTTATGAGGAATAAACCTCATTTTACAAAGAGCACTTTCGAAAAAAGGCACTATATAATGCAAACTGTCCTTTTTCGAAAGAGAGCATCCAGACTGCCTGGGTGCTCTCTTTCAAAAAAGTGGCTTGCTTTTTCGAAAGTACTGGTTGTAGTCTAGATGCTCTTTTTCGAAAGAGGCTTGCAGTCTAGACGTAGCCATAGAGTATCAATTTTAGTGTACCACCCACTTACCTACTAAATTCATGAGATTTGTTTTGTTCTGATCTAGTAATCATGCTCTGAATTCTTTTGATTTTGTTTGTTGGCTTCTGGTCAATGTGCTAATTAAGTGCAACCTAAACTTGACATTTTTCCTGGTCAGGAGGTTAGGTAAGATTTTGTTTAATTTACCTAATGTGATTAAAGTCAAGTTAAAACTGTTACCCTAGTTAATTTATCATTAGATGGAATATTAATTTCTAGTGCAACAAAAATTGTTAAATTCCTCTACTTGTACAAAAATATTTCCTCACTAGAGTCCCATCTTTTTGTGATCGTGTTTTGATTACTTCTGATTAAGAAATTATCTTTTTAAACATGCCACATGATTACTTATTGTGAAATGTGTATGAGCTTCAGTGGATTGACTGCTGAGGCCTGTCATTTCATGATGTTACTGCTGTTTGAGGATGATAGTGTCTTTCAGGGAAGCTCATCTGCCAGGTGCTATGTAGAAGTATTTTGTGTTAGAGAATTGTTCATGCATTAATCGTGTGTATCTGATGAGACACCATGAAGCCTCCGAGTGTGCAATTATATCTTTTCTTCCTGCACAGAATCACAACTGTGCAGATTAGAAATACCATGCATAATTATTTAAAAGGTACTGTAAAATCCAATCTAAAATATGTTACATACAAAAATCTGACTTCTCAAGCTCAGGATCTAGCCAAGTAAGGAAAATTCTTAGTGTTCACAAACGGCAAAACTCAGTTCGGTCAAGTGAGATTTAATTATTTGTCAAATTGGCAAGCTTCTCAGCCAGCACTTAAAAATTGATGCATTAACTGAGACATTACGCTGCATGTGAAAACTGGATGGCTGTCTTTCCTCCTAAGCATGGCTGAAAGAACAGATGATTGGCTATCCCATCCTGCTGCTTTACTAACTCCCTTCTTTGGAATGCTGATGAAGCAGCTGCATGCAGTTCTGAACTCAGGAGAATGTGGGTGCCCAAATAAATGTATGCTCTCAAGTGTGGTGTGGGATGTCACAACTTGTTTCTTGCTATTTATAGGGTAACTGAGGCAGGAGGCTAGTTGTCCTCTTTGGCCTTAAAGTAGACTCACAGTTACCAGAAATACTTTTAAACGTTTCCTTACTGAAATATATACATGTGAGGTGTATACAGTGTAGTATAAAAGCTATAATCTATTTTACATAATTGAATCCTTTTTTCCTAATATGTAAAACAGTTACATGTAGTATTTTTAAATTCAGATTAGTTTGCTACTTTATTTTGGGCATAAAGCATCAATTCAGTTTATTAAATGTTTTTGGATCGTTTAAGTACAATTTTTAATATAAGAAATTGAGAACCATAGCTTTTATTTGGTCAACAAAATTTTAGGGTCATGTTGTTCTTGTAAAATTCATTTTGTTAGTCTGAGCCCATCGTTCTCCCATTCCCTTGATAGAACTCCCATAGAAATCAAGGATAGTGATTTTGTATGCAGAAAAGGGACTGTAGGATCAGACCCAACTAGCCACATAATTTGATAATTAAACTATGCAGTAGCCCATGAAAAAGAAATTCTAAATGAAGAGTTAATGTGTAATTGTCAAGTAAAAGATTTGTGATCTTTTCATTAGAGTATGCATTTACATTAATATCTTGTACATAAAATATAGTGCTAGCAACACAGCTGTTCATTTGATGTTAAAATGCCCCCAAAATAATTTCAAAGGGGATGTGGAAGAGCTTTTACTAGTTAAATGATCTGGAATCTCTCTGAGCTCCAAGTTCCACCATTTTTATGTGTCAAAAAAAAGTGATTTCAATAATGCACCTTTAAATCTGTACAGTACTTAATTATAATTATCTGTACAGGCCCATCTCACAACTGGATGAAGGATTTTGCACTAGCAATTTCTATAGTGATTGGCTTTGGAGGCTGCTGGTTTGCACATTCTCAGAACAAGACCTCAAAAGAGCACATCACAAAAATGATGAAAGATCTAGAAAGTCTCCAGAAAGCAGAGCAAAGCCTCCTTGATGTGCAGGAGAGGTATGTGATCTGAAAAGGTTTAAATGTTCAGTGATTTGTCTAAGCTTTATATTTTGAGATAATGATGTTTAGCACTTAAAGCAATAATGTGAAAGATGATAATTTGACTATAACAGGCATTGGGTTTTGTGCACCTTCCTCAACCCATTGCACAAATTTAACTGCGGTTTTAATGAATATATATCTATTTGCCATGCTGAATTATCACTGTGAAATTTAAAGTGTAATGTCAGAGCTAATCAATGGAAAAGAAGGAAAACTGGATACAGATGTGGGTCTGAGTATAAAAGGGACAGTGATGAGTTTGTCTGTTGCTTTATCTGTTGATGTAGAAAACAAGCTGTGTTACTAGAGGCTATGTCTCAATAAATTGAGATGAACTCTTTCTTACCCTATTTTGTTGTGAATTTTCAGAGCTAGCACTTTCTGAGCTCATGAAATCCAGACAAGCCTTCACTGAAAACTTCTTGATAGTTTTCTAGTAGTATGGGGAAAGTGTATTTTCCATAGTTAAGGCAGTAACTTCCTTATGATAAACCTGCCGTTTTGTCCACTCCACTCCCTTAAAGTATATATGAAGGAGAATATAATTAAAACTGGTAAATTCGGTGTAGGGTTTTTGAGTGAGCTAATTTATGATGGAATTTGGATGTAAATGCTGAAAATTCTCACACTGAAGTGTTATATACAATCTGTGCACTATTCCTTTAAGTAGCGTCTCATTTGTTTGTTGAATTTATGTTCTGAAGGCTTGAGAAGGCACAGGAAGAAAACAGGAATGTTGCTGTAGAAAAACAAAACCTGGAGCGTAAAATGATGGATGAAATCAATGATGCAAAACGAGAAGCTTATCGACTGAGGGAACTGAGGGAGGGAGCTGAATGTGAACTGAGCAGACTCAAATATGCAGAGGAGGAACTAGTACAGGTATTTAGGAGCTATGGAACATTTCCGTTCTGGTTTTGTTAGGGTTTAGTTTAATGGAGAGAGTGTTTTGGGTTTTTTTAAGTGGTATTTCTGTGATGTTGGTTTTATTGTCCTGAAAGCATCCTCTGAATATTTCGTTTCTTTACAGCCATAGAAAAAGCATATTCATCAACCACTGTTAAAATGTGAGAATCTTATGAACTTGTGTAGATACAATGTATAATAAAATGCTACTGAAACATACTTAAAAGAACAATTCTTCATGTTGTAAGCCCCTATGCATGATTTCCATGGGCCAAACAATGCCAAGACTAACCCTATCAAGAAGGGAAATTACCTCACTTTGGTTTCTTTCTGGCTATCAGGACAGAAATTGCAGATGGCTTTACCAACCTATTGCTTACATTTTCTCAGTGTAAATCTAATGTGTAGTATTAGAAATTAATAGTGGTGTATTAGTAATGTGAGTTACTTTCAGCTTGGTCATCAAAGGAAAATAGGAACAGAGAGTTAGAGGCTGGTACAGTCTATGGAAATCCACCTACTGACTTTTCAGAAACTTCCCACAACTTACTCTTGAGACCAAAGAATCACATGACAGAGCTAAATGATCTTGGGGCATGGTTGCCTGAAGAATGAGTTTGAGCTAATTACAGCAGTGTTTCAGGCTGAGTCATTTTACCTTCCATCTTAGGAAAATTGTCTGATTTTTTGCATCTCTTTTGACTGCTAGGTTCGCATGGCTTTAAAGAAGGCTGAGAAGGAGTTTGAGCTGAGAAGTAACTGGTCTGTTCCTGATGCATTACAGAAATGGCTCCAGTTAACACATGAGGTTGAAGTACAGTACTACAATATTAAAAGACAAAATGCAGAAATGCAACTAGCGATTGCTAAAGATGAGGTAATTATTTACTCTTGAATTATTACAGTATGTTCATGTGCTAAAGACTCATAATGCTCTCCATTTTGTTGCTAGATAAATAAATCAAGGGATAATAGAGTATTCTGATAGGGTAGAATGTCTATTCCTGAAGTTTTCTGCTGTCAGAATATAAAGGTCCTGTTTCATTCAGATGCTTTACTGCCTTTATGTCCTCTCAAATTATTTTATCTGAATTATTTATACAGCCTTTGGCTTCATGTTTCATGCATTTTAGGCAGAAAAAATTAAAAAGAAGAGAAGCACTGTGTTTGGGACATTACATGTTGCACACAGCTCCTCCCTAGATGAGGTGGACCACAAAATCCTTGAAGCAAAGTAAGAACATTAACTAGATGCATATTGTCCCTTTCTTTTATGCAAGAAACAGTGACATTCACTAAGAGAATGGTATGAAGAAATTCAGCATTTTAATTTGATTTTTCTGCAAGTAAAAATCTATGGTCAGAAGATGTTGTAATGTGAATTTTTGCACACTTCTAAGAATAGGTGATTGTTTTCTGAAATGCTGCAGTAAATATACTGTTATTGTTCCATGCTATGTCCAGCATTCAAGTTTTAGTCCAGTGACAGTTATTAACTTCAATATTATGTTTTATTTTTCCAGAAAAGCACTCTCTGAATTGACAACTTGTTTACGAGAGCGTCTCTATCGATGGCAGCAGATCGAGAGGATCTGTGGCTTTCAGATAGCACACAACTCAGGATTACCAAGCCTGACGTCCTCTCTGTACTCTGATCACAGTTGGGTGGTGATGCCCCGAGTCTCCATTCCTCCTTACCCAATTGCTGGGGGAGTGGATGACTTAGACGAAGACACCCCTCCAATAGTTGCACAGTTTCATGGTATGTGCTAATTACCCTGTCAGGGCTGTTCCAAAATTCTGGCACTCCAAGTGCAGAAGATGGGAGCCTGCAAGAGAGCTTAAATACCTTGCCTCTATAGGCTCTGTTTACAAAAGCTCCCCAGAGTCACTGATGCACTGGCTATGAGAAAAACAGAAGCTGCCACCCTCAAGTGATTTAAACTCCGAAAAAACCCAGGGAGAAACACTTGAATTCCTTCCCCCCCGGGGTACTCCAAGCTCTTTTGCCCCAAAACAAAGCAAAAAACGCAGAGAACAAACTCTAATAGCTGACCTCCAAGGTTACACAGACATACACAGACCTCCTGTTACTTTCCAGGACACATGAATCAAATCATCGCCTTAACAAAGGTGATTTTATTTTTAAACAAAAAAGATATACTTGATAAAAGCATACTGGGCAGCTTGGTGTTACAGAGCAACTAAGAAAAGAAAGATCCAAAACCACACAGTTGTTTGGGCTGTAATTTAAATGGTGAATGGGAGAAGGAAGGCATAGATTCGCATAAAGAAGTTTAACCGAGCAACGAAAACAAAGAACAGTACCCTGATTGTGACTAGAGACATGTTTTCCCTCTACTCATGATCCATGCTGATCCATACTTCAGGGCCCAGTTCACTCCCCTGTCCAATATTTGGTATAGGCATGGCAATTCTGAGTACTGCATCTGCTTCCTCCAGTCCTTGTTTAGAATTCACAAAGGAAGAGCAGACCAGGTATCTGTATCCAATTCAAATTTAAGCACTGTATCCCCATTGGTTCTTCTGGCCCCCTGCCAACACCCTTGCTAGCTACCTGAGTTTAATCCCTTAGTCACCAGGTGCTGGCTAGCACTCCTCCTAGGCTATGTCTAGACTGCAGGCTTCTTTCGAAAGAGCAATCCGCTTTTTCGAAAGAGAGCACCCAGCGAGTCTGGATGCTCTCTTTTGAAGAAGCCCTATTTACATTGAAGAACGCCTTCTTTCGAAAGAAGGCGTTCTTCCTCGTGAAACGAGGTTTACCGCCATCGAAAGAAAAGCCACGTTCTTTCGAAATAATTTCGAAAGAACGCGGCTTGAGTCTGGACGCAGGTGAAGTTTTTTCGGGAAAAGGCTACTTTTCCCGAAAAAACCCCTGAGTCTGGACACGGCCCTATACATCACAGCCTCAAAGGAAGATATTAAGTCAGGGAAGCCTGCTGACGTCCTCTCAGGGAGAGAGACTTTGAGTGGAGAGAAGAGTTACCAATAAAGGGGAAATTGAGCAGCAACCTAAAGGACAGAAATTCAGGGGAAAGAAACTTCAGGAGGAGTAGTGCAGGAAGTAAATTAAACTGTGGCTGAAAAGTGTACCCTAGAGAGTCAGCCCACCCTGATTTCTTCAGTCCTTGCATTAGTAAGAGAGGCCATCTTCTTGTAACCACAACAAGGAGTCCTGTGTCATCTTAAAGACTAACAGATTTATTTGCGCGTAAGCTTTTGTGGGCAAAAACACAGTTTGTCAGAAGTATTTGACCAAGTTGGTTTTTGTCCATGAAAGCTTATGCCCAAATAAATCTGCTCATTTTTAAGATGCCACCAGACTCTGTTTTTTGTGGATATAGACTAACACAGTTACCTCTCTGACTCTCATTTTATTGTAGCTGGGATTAACTAGACAGTGAAGATTAATTGCGATGAGCTCACATTTGAGTGTTTCAGCGCAAGCACACAATCAAACTGAACAATTGAAGGGACAGAATTTTGTGGCAGTTACTTCTGTAATTGCTTGCTGAGTCTAATTTCCTTTGAAAATACCAGCACTGTATTTTTAAAAGGCTCTTTTAAAAGGAGTTAGGGTACACAGGAGTGGGAAACAAAAAGTAGGCTCGATTTGACAATCGCATAATTCATGGTGCTGCAGACAGGTCAGCTGTGAACAAGGGTGCTGTGGCTTCTGGATGCAAACTCATTTCCCTGGTCTGGCTTGCTGCTTTCATTTCCCACTGAGGAGCAGAGATATCTGATACATTTAGGTCAGGTGTTGCTACTTGCAGCATAAGTTGTGACTTTCTCAGTGACCTCCATTAGTGACAGTTAGATGCTAACTAAACTAAGTGTGAGATTCTAGCAAATAGAGGTCAATGCAACATGTGCCTCTTCCTTGCTTGTCCTGTTTGCTCAGTTATTTATATTTTCACTTCTACCTAGTTAATACTCAGGAACGGAGAATATAGTTTATCTGTCGTTAACTCAGCAGCCCAAGGAGAAAAGTGCAGATGGTGTCAGTCCATCTGCAAACTCTTGGATTTGCTGGCAGTCTTTTAGTTGAGTAACCACACTTGACACTTGTCTGGCCATGACCTTTCTTACCAAAGACAGACAATGCAAACTAGAATGGTCTTGGTATGGAGAATCTTAAAATAGATTGGACCCACTGCCACAGGGGAGCATTATGAACCTGCATGCTTTCCAAACTGAAACCAGATTGTAAGATTTCCAGAAATTACAACTGCACTCTATCAGGCTTCTTTTTTGTTGTGCTCTCAGCTGCTGGCAAGGAGGAATTGTACCTAATATGCCTGGATTGGCATAGCCGTTCTTGAAAAATGAAAGGTTAGCAAATAGGAAAAAAGATCTTGTTGCAAATGCAGTTGGACAAACATGTTTTGCTTGCTTTTCATTTTGGCTGCCACTCCCAGTAATATGCAATGTTAGAAAAAAAATCACATTTAATTACCCTAGCGTTCACGTTTGTAATTAGACTTGTTTGCTTTTGGTTAGGTGAAATCATCTTAAAAATCACTGCTCACTCAAAAGCTTTTCACTTCTGCAAGATTTGAATGGCCATTATTGTAGAATGGATGGATAATGATGTCCTTCAGAATAATTGAGCACCATCATTTCTAATGTACAGACATGCAGGGCCAGATTGTCAAATGAGATTTGGGCACTTTGTGTTGCCCTTGAGGCTCAGAGGTGAGAAACTGGATACAAATGGTCAAAGGAATGCTCTGTTGAAATGAAGGTGCTGCAGCTGGCTTTTGCACTACAGTGTCCCTCCTAAAATGCAGCTCCTGCTGATGCAACTCTCTCACTACGTTGATGTAATAACTCTACCTCTGTGAGATGTGTAGCACTTAGGTCAGTGTTATTAAGGTGATGCTGTGTTTGTGTAGATGTTATGTCATTTAAAGCATCTGTTGGTTGTCAACCCCAGGGCTCACAGCCAGAGACCCATTGCGCCAGGTGTTTACAATGTTCCCCCACAAGTAAGTTAGTGGCAGCACTCCTGGTAAGAAGGGTAGTCTGGACATGAAACATGGCTTTTATTACTTACTTAAGTCAACTTAATATTGTATTGTCCACATGCCCTAAGAGTCAGCTGAGAACAGCTTCTTAGCAGCTTTAAGAATCATTGGGGCCGATATAACTCTCAGAACCGTTAACCTGGTATACCTGCCCTCAGGGAAAGACCCTGCAGTAGCGTTTCCAGAGTAGAGTGTTAATTTTGAATTGACACCATTTGTTTTTTTTCTTCCTCCAGGGTCCACTGTTAAGCCTCCCAGCACATTAGCAAGAAGTAGTAGTCTGTGTCGCACAAGGCGCAATGTTGTGCCATCATCTCCGCAGTCTCAGCATACTCAAAATGCTCAACATCCGCAGCATACCCTCCACTCCCCTGACCCTGACATCCTGTCAGTGTCAAGCTGCCCTGCCCTTTATCGTACTGAGGAGGAGGAAGAGGCAATTTACTTCACTGCTGACAAACAATGGTATGATGAATAGCAAAACATTATTAGAACTCTGGTTCGATTGCTCTAAATAATTATCAAGTGTTAGAGGTTGAAGTATGTCAAACAATGAAGCAGACCACATGGAACAACAATTGGGCTGTTTGTGCTGCTGTGTGAATATAAACAAGTGAAGATCTGGAACAACTTTCCAAAGGGAGCAGTGGGGACAAAAAACCTAAGTGGTTTCAAGACTGAACTTGATAAGTTTATGAAGGGGGTGGTATCACAGCTACGATGGCATGCAACCGATCTTAACTGCTAGTAGCAAATATCCTCAAAGGCCGGTGATGGGATGCTAAGTAGGGAGAACTCTGAGTTACTACAGAGACTTCTTCACCGGGTGCCAGAGAATTCTTCACCTCTGGGGAGAATAGCTCAGTGGTTTGAGAATTGGCCTACTAAACCCAGGGCTGTGAGTTCAATCCTTGAGGGGGCCATTTAGGGATCTGGGGCAAATCTGTCAGGGATGGTATTTGGTCCTGCTGTGAAGTCAGAGGACTGGACTCAATGACCTTTCAAGGTTCTTCCAGTTCTATGAGATAGGTATAGGTATATGCTCAGAATCTAACTGGGGTTGGGAAGGAATTTCCCCCCCAGGTCGGATTAGCAGAGATCCTGGGGGAGTTGACCCTCCTCTATGGCATGGGGCATTTATCACTTGCAGGTTTAAATTAGTGTAAATGGTGGAGTCTTTGTAAATGGAAGTCTTTAAATCATGGTTCAGTAATTCAGCCAGAGGTCAGGGATCTGTTACAGGAGTGGGTGAGTGAAGTTCTGTGGCCTGCAGTGTGCAGGTCAGACTAAACGATCACAGTTGTCCCTTGGAGTCTAATTAGCCAGTGCCAAAGGATTATTCAGTTCTGCAATCCTGGGTAAACTGTGCTGATTCTTTTTCTTTGCAATAGTTTGTACTTATAGCTTTAACTGGGACCAAAAGCAGACTTAGTGCTGTTGCTACTCTTTCTCCTAGCAGTAAGTTAAGTTTCTTTAGCCATGTAACACCTAGGCTAATTAGATTGTCTGTTGAACATTGAGGAGGTCTCCTCAAACATGTTAGGTTTGAATCTGCTTCTTCTGTGACTTTTGTAAGTTTACTTTCACTGTTGTTGGTTAATAGAGGTTTTGTTCCCTCACAGCCAATCTTCTCTTCCTATTTGTTTCTGTAGTGGAATCATTTAAAATGTCACAATCACTCCTACCACAACATCTTGTCACCTCATAAATATACAATTATTCTTTCACTTAAAGTACCAGTCAGAAGGGGTAGGTTTCCAGAGAAGCTCTGACTTCATTAACAACAAAAACACTGGCCAAATAAATTTCATATTGTATAAACATAGGGTTTTTTGAAGCTTATTGTCAGTGTGCAAATATCCTTCTAAGTAAGTTGCTTCAGATCACTGATAGTAGTAATTACATTTTTGGAAAAAACTACTGGCAAAATACAAGCTCAATCATAAAAAAGGTCTCTCATAAAAAGGTGATGGGGTTTTCTTTAAAGGTATAGGTGTATTGTATCAATAAATATGGGTTTAAATTGAGGAGGATCCAATGGCTGGGATGCAGAAGACATGGTTTCAGTTCCTTGCACCTCTTCTCTGACAGCAACATAGGGCCTACTTGATGGCCTCCCTTCTGCCTGGCAACCAGGCAAGGGGTGGAGAAAAGCCCTGCTCGGGTATTTGCATCCACTCCACAATCCATAAAAATGGTCCACAAATATCGGCATCTGCCAATATGAAGGCCTCTGTTGTGAGGTACTCAGTATATGTCTTTACTACACTTGAGCATATGGGGCTTGGGCTACAGAGCTGTTTCATTGCAGTGTAGATGCTTGGGCAGTAGCACAAGTTCTGGGACTGCCCAGGGTCCCAGATCTCACAGGGCTAATATTCAGTGATGAACATCCACACCACAAAAAAACAGTCTCAAAGTCCAAACTCCACAAGTTTGAGTCGGGTGACTAGAGTAGACATTGCAGCACGGACACATGCTTAGATACCAAAGTAAGCTGACCATATAAGTACGTATTTTCAGTAATAGAAATTGAGCCTGCGGGATAGAAATCAATGATTTTTTTATTTAAATTGGATTTTTATTTTGTTTAATTTTTTCTTAAAAATAAACCTGTTTTAAAATGAAATCTAAATTTTAGTACAAAATATGTGAAGGCCTAACTCTATTATAATCTCTCAAAGTATTTAAATAAAAACTGACTATGTCCTTTTGAGTGTTTAGTTTAGTTTTCAGTTATCATCCTAAAGCTGCTTGACATGGATCATGAGCAAAATGTTAATTATCTAGTAAATAAGCAATATTTCATTCGCTTTTTTCTAACATACTAAATATGTACGGATAAGAATTTGAAAATGTCAGGTTGTGTAATTGCTTATATAACTGTATAAAGTTATGTGCCCTTCTAGTAGCAAAAAGGTGTACCAATCTAGTGCAAAGGCTATATGTAGTTGTAAATAATAAGTTTTAAGGGTTATTTCTACCAGAGAGAATACACTTCAAAAAAACCTGAAGTACAAATGGAAAAGTAGGTTTAAATTAATTATTTAAATTAAGGCTTTTCACTTGGTGACTTAAATCAATCTACCCTGAGTTCGGTTTGGGGGGGAGAGAAACAGCAGTGCATGTCTTGGCCTCGTCTAACATTTGTCCTTGGTTCTTGTTTTTTCTCCTCCTCTTGTCCTTTTTCCATGAGCACACTTGACACAGGGTTTAGTAAAACAAATAGCTACTTAAGGGGAATTTCTACTGTGTTCTGTAGGTCTTGGGGGAACTCCTCAGTATGGCTCTTCTAGAATAACTCCCCGCCCCCCCCCCTTTTTGAGAATATTCTAGTGCTTTATTTGAATGAAGTTTGTTGCTTTTCTATGGTGAGCTGCAAATGACTGAACAGAGTTTACTGCTTTTGTTTGATTGAAATTAAAATAATGTATCTTCTTTTACCTAGTGAAATGAGGTACAGTGGGTGTTTGCATTCTAATGGCATAGATTTGAGACTCTCCCCTCCCCCCACCCCCTATTGCATAAAGGCAATTTTTATGTAACAGTTTCTTTCTCTGTTTTTACTTAGGGATGTACAGAATGCAGGTTCAGAGTGTGACTCCTTAAACTCGTCCTTTGGAAGGAAACAGTCTCCTCCATCAACTCTTGAGATGTACCAAACTCTGTCTCCACAAAAGGTATCCCGGGAGGAACTGTCTCAAGAGGAATCATCCACAGGAGACTCCTCATCGCTAACTGCAGATATTTCCAGGGGTTCTCCTGACTGTGCAGGATTAACAGAAACAAAGAGCATGATATTTAGTCCTGCAAACAAAGTGTACAATGGCATCTTGGAAAAGTCCTGCAGCATGAACCAGCTTTCTAGCGCAACCCCAGTCCCAAAGCCTCGCCATACCTCTTCTTCCTCGGCCAACAGTGAAAGTAAACCCATTCATCAAGTCTCCACTGTCCCTAGGATAAGTAGCATCCCACATGACCTATGCCAGAATGGTGAAAAAAACAAAAAGCCGTCAAAAATAAAAAGCCTCTTCAAGAAAAAATCAAAGTGAGGCATGGAGAAGTAGCCCATAACAGTGGCAGTGTTAGACTTTCTAAACTTTAGGAACATAGTTCCATTTGGGTCTTCCAGACCGTTTGTCATGGTGGAATGCCCAATAGGTCAACTCTATTATTTAAATGACTCTAAAGTTAAAGATCATGTCAGAAATCAAAAGTTCAGACAGTTTAGTCATTTCTGCCTATTTATTTCTGCTTTGTTTTTAGTTACATATAACTTTTGTAAAATGCCACTTTGGACTTACAAGCTTTAATGGACTAGTAAGCCTACATGGGCTTGACAACATTTCTTGTTTACCAGATCATCTTCTTATCTTTCCATGGAGCTATAACATTTACCTACTGGACTTAAGTAACTTAAAAAAAGTAAAATTAATTAAATTGCACTACTGTTTTCCAGACTGGAAAAGTATCTCTCTGCAAGTGAAACTGTAAGATTTATAAATGACTGAGGAAATGGGTCTTTACAATTTTAGATCTGTTTGGGGTTTTAAATAGAACCTACGATTTCGAAATGACTTGATTTCGGGAAATGGAAACCTCACACTTTTATTATGAGACATTTCATTAGATGCATCTATATTAGAACAGTTCAAGTCCTGCTGTAAAGACCATATTTTCCCAGGGCTTTCACTGTGATTTTACTGCATTGCAGGATGTATGATAAAATATATAGATAATTTAACAAGAGAAGAAACTCTTGATTCCTTAGGCAAGCAATGGATTGAAACTTGATTGAAGAACTTTAACCATTCATATGCTTAAAGTGGGGAGGGGGAGAATACAAGCACTTGTTTACAGACTTTGATAGGCAAAGGATGTTTGGTTTATGAAAATTTGTACTGTTGTAAAGATAATAAATTGGAGACATTCTTGTGCTTGTAATTGTTCTGATTTTAGCTGATCTCTTTCAGACATATTCCTGAGGACCTGTTTATTGAACTTACTATAGGCTGCATTGCTTATGCTTATAAGTGTATAAATTTTTTTGTTATTAGCTTTTATCCCTTTGTGGGATTTCATACTGTTTATTTTTGTATAGTTTGAGAAGTTAGCTGTTTGGACATGTCTGCTTGAAGTAAATGATCTCTTAATTTTATAACACACACATACTATGATGAACTAGTGTCTTGGTTCTCACTTTAAAATCTTTAAATTACATGGTTAGGATAAAGCAACTTTTACATTAAACAAGCTTTTATCATAAGGCATTAAATTACCATTGGGTAACAAAGAAGCCTTCTTAGGAAAACAGTGGCTAGTTGTTCAAAACCATCACTTCTTTTTACAAGGAGATGAAAAAAATGTCCTGCTTCAGTAACAGTGCCTTTCTATTCAGTTTGTCTGAAAAAGTGTAATGCTGAGCACCAGTTTTCTTTGAGGTGAATTCCAAAGAAATACTTTTGCTCCAGTGAACACAAGCAATTTATCCTGTGTTGACTAGGTCTCTTTAGTTCTACTATGGGGTTGTGTTAGAGGCCTGAGTAGCCGCTGCTATGACTGGACTTCTGTGATTAGGAGTTCCAGCCATGCCAGAAAACACTCACTGTACTGTAGAAAACAGTGCATTCATTGACTGCATAAACAGATTGCTGGTGAGTAGACATGAACAAAACCTTTAACCATTTGTTTCAACTTGAAGTAATACAGCGCTTCCCTATTTCTGCACCAAGGTCCAATTATATGGGACTTCTCTTTGTTGATATGAATTTACGAGGCAATGGTCATATTTTACTGGAAACCTTTAGTATGCCTGACACAATGGGGGAGGGGGGGGAAAGAATATGGGAATTACCAGCTGAAGTTAAGATGTCTAAAAAAGCAGAGTGTCTTGTATGTTGGAGCCTGTAAACATAGTTATTTCACATTTCAATTGCTGGTTGTTTTATCATTTTGATTAAGGATGTTAAATTGTAGTTCTCTGGCTAATTGTGTACTCAATCCAATTTGTATTGACTACACGAATAGTTAAGGGGCTGCAGTGGGGGTAGTTCTCAGATCCAGCTGGAGCTAGGACTGAGCCTTCCTCCAGGAGCTACTCAAGCTGTGGCTCTCCATTTTAAATATAGTAAGAGCCGCCAGGCACTTAATACATTTAAAATTCTACATGTAAAATGCAGAGGCACAGTATTCTGGACCAGTGTCGAGCAGCACCTATCCACAGGGGAGCCCAGCATGAGCTGGGACTGCTCAGTCCCAACTGTGGGCAGAGGCTGCTTTTCAGCAGACACCCCTATCTTCCCCCACCCCCACTGACTCTGATAGAGGCAATGGGGTGGGAGGGCAGGCAGGTGGCACTACAAAGACAGTGCTGGAGGGAACCCACTTTTAAGCCAGCTCCCCCCAGCACCTTTTTCCCTCTTTTCCCCCCTCTGCCTCTCATACAGAGGCAGCAAGGGTGGGGGAGGGTGAACGTGAGTAGTTGACTACTTGCTAACATGCCTAATTTTGATAAGTTTAGGCAACTTGCCATCTCAAAACTATCCAGAATATTAGCCAGATGGATGGGTCTTGGAACTTTGGTTGCCCTTCAAGCTAATGCAACAAGACTTGACAAGTTGCTTGCCAGAAGAAAGCGCTCAGTTTTGGTCACTGGCATTCAAGGTGGATTCTTCCTGGCAAAGTGCTTCAGAAAATTCAACCTTCTTGAGGAGGGATATGACATGTAACAACATCCTCTAGGTAGAGGGGATCAGTGTACTTAGTGACCTACTGCTTTTCTTGTACTCAGCTTACTGTCTCTCCACTTCAAATCTTTGGATTGATTGACTTATTATCAGAGTCCAGCTGGCAAGCCAACCATTGAAGTGCCCTTGGACACTTGCCAGCCCTCCTAAATACCCTTGAATGGCACAGGATTCTCTGAAGCTCTAAGCCCATACTGTTTCTATGAAACGAGTGGCTCCTGGCATATCTATCTAAAATCATGCTCTGAGTATTATCTGAAGTAGATGAAGGGTTTTTTATTGAATATATTATGATGGTGCCCAGAAGCCATGATCAGGATTGGGGGGCTAGTGTGCTAGGTAGGCCCTGTATAGTGGTAGATACCCCCTAAAAAGCTAACAGTCCAAGAACTCAAAGATCAGAGTGGGGGAGAAGGAGGTTAAATGTATGCCATTTTATAGTCATAAATATATTTTTATAAACAAATGTATCTCAGATTACATTAAAATTAGAGCTGTTAAGCAATTAAGATTAACCACAATTAAATTATTAAACAGTAATAAAATAAAATATCATTTATTTAAATGTTTTTGGATATTTTTTATATTTTCAAATGTATTGTTTTCAATTACAATACAGAATATAAAGTAGCCAGTGGTCACTTTATTTTTTTATTACAAATATTTGCACTGTGAAAAATAAAAACAGTATTTTTAAGTTAACCTAATACAAGTACTATAGCGCAATCTCTTCATGAAAGTTTGACTTACAAATGTAGAATTATGTACACAAAATAGCTGTATTAAAAATAAAATGTAAAACTTTAGAGTCTATACACCACTCAGTCTTATTTCTTGTTCATCTAGTTTGTTTACATTTGCAAGGGATCATGCTGCCCACTTTTTGCTCATATTATCACCTGAAAGTGAGAACAGGCACTCGCATGGCACTGTTGTAGCCACTGTCCCAACATATTTACATGCCAGATTGTTGAAGCGTGTACGTATGACTTCACTGTGGACTCTCACATGTTCATTTTCCTTATCCAAGTCACATTCCACCAGTAGAAGGTTGATTTTATTTTTTGGTGATTTGGGTTCTGTAGTTCTCACATTAGAATGTTGTTCTTTTAAGACTTTTTGAAAGCATGCTCCTCACCCAGTCCCTCTTACTTTGTAGGCACTACATATTGTTAAACTTTGGTTCCAAAGCTGTAGCTATTTTTGGAAATCTCTCCTAAGTACCTTCTTTGCATGTTGTTAAATCTGCAGTGAACAACACCTGCTGAGTCGTCATCCAGGGTTACTAAACATGAAGTATAAATGCAGAATGTGGGTAAAATAGATCTGGAGACATACAATTTCCCTTTAAGAAGTTCAATCACAAATTTAATCACAAATTTAACGTGTCTTATGTTTTTAAAGAGCATCATCAGCATGGAAGCATGTACTCCAGAATGGTGGTCAAAGCACAAAGGGACATATAAATGTTTAATATATCCAGCACACACACCTTGCAATGTCAGCTACAGAAATCTCATGTGAATCCATGTTCTCTTTTTCTGGTTACATTGTAAATAAGTTGGCAGCATTAACTGCCATGAATGTAAACAAACTTGTTTCTCTTTATGATTGAACAAGAAGCAGGACTGAGTGGACTTTGGTAGGTTCTAGTGTATTCCATTGTTTTGTTTTTGTGAGCATCTACATTTGTAAGTTGCACTTGAGAGTAATGATTCTCAAACTTTTTGGCCTGTGCCCCACCACCACCCAACACATACTTTTTGAAGATGACAAAACAACCACCCATAAAGACAAAATGAGTGGAGGTGGGAGTACAAGGACTCAGCAGAAGGTGGGGGAAGCAGCAGCAGGCTATGTATGGGGAAGATGCGGGGTGGGGATCTGGGCAGGAGGAAGGGGCAGGAATGTGTTGAGGGTGAGGTAGGTGCATGTGAGGGTGTAGGAGGATGTGGGGGCACTTACCTGGCTCTGCACTCCCTACCCCTCCCAGGCACTGCCACCTACCAACCAATGGAAGCAGTAGGAAAACACTTCAGACGAGTGGTTTTCTGTGCTGCTGTTCCCCCCCCCCCCCCCCCCCCCGGAGCTGGGCTCCAAACCTGCAGTATATCTACAAGACAGTCACAGACCACACTTTGAGAACCACTGCTATAAAGAGATTGTACTTGTCTGAAGAGAACTTGAAAAACATGATTTCTTTCGTTTATTTTATTTACAGTGCAAACAGTGTTGTACACTTCATATTCTGTTTTGTAATTTAAAGCAGTTTCTCTCTCAAGTTTTTCCTGCCGGATGACAGAATGTCCCTGCCAGGTGACAGAATGACATCATTGTGTCATCCACATCAACAGGCTCTCTCAGTGAAGTGAAAGGGGCTGGGGGGGGGGGGGGAGCTAGGCGATCGTAATGAGCTGAGGATGCACCCCGTAGTATTTTTAAATGTAGAAAAATATACAAACCTATTTAATAAATTTCAAATTGGTATTGTATCGTTTAACTATGTGATTAAAATTGATTAACTGTGGGTTTTTTTTTAAGTCAATCACATGACTTAACTGCAATTGACAGCCCTAATTAAAACACTGTTTGCCAGTGAGTGGTGCCTTTTCCCAGTGAATAGGGTTAGATGAGGATATGCATTCAGAGCAACTTGCTGTAACCAGTACCAAGAATGTACTTTGCCACATAACTGCTGTAGCTGCTTCTGCATATCTCCCATGTGTATTAGTTTGCTTAGTTTCTTGCAGAAGGGTGCTGGAAGAATAGGACAAACAAGGTTAGCTAACCTTTTCCAACTGTTCTTTGGTAGAACATACCACTACTTCAGGTTCCATTGGTTTGTTTTTTTTACTCAGTCAAATTGGGCAAATTATGTTCCTGGTGGCAGAGTATAAGAGGAAGGAGTTTCTATCCTCTGCGAAATGAGAGAGCCTGTATTGTCAATTACTACTACTAGATAGAATGAACAAAAACGTTCTGGTGACAGCCAAAGAATGTGCTATTGTTGGTGTACCTTAGAACATTTTCTCTCAAGGGTTTGGTATTGAGTTGGCAGTTAGCATGACTCAAAGATGATGGCTCAACTCTCCATTTGATATTTCAATAGAAGGTGCTCATCTCCTAATGCACATTTTTGAGACCCTCTCTTTAAGCTCCCCATGAAGACAGATGTGATTTTGATTTGCACTTAGTTCTTTAGATCTTAGGTAAGATTTATTTTGAAGCTATGCATTCTGTTAGGTTAAAAATATTAAGCTTTAATAAGGTGTTCCCAGTTATTCTTATCTGCCAGATAAACATTTTCTGTCTTGAGTATCAGCCCATTCTTATTCTTTCACAAATACAAAGTGGCTTTGTATGCTATTCCACTGTTTTATACAACTGTAAAGCTCATTTTGCCAGAACTGTGGGTGGGT